TGGTCCGTTTAAGGACTGTATCTCTGTCGTAGTGAGTTAGAGTGACCCCCGTACATACCACATGTCGCGGATGGGCGTGGCATGCCAAGTAGCTAGTGGTGACTAAATAACCAGGTGGATTCAGCTCGGGGAGAGGCGCGGGGTAGATGGAATAAGCTAGTACCTCAGCCCATCGTCGTACCGTTCATGAACAATTTGTCCACACTTGTGAAAGGTTGAGGACTTGAGGCAACCCTTACCTTGACGTATAGGTATGGAGGTTCTATGGGGGGTATGACCCTAGGTACCCACGGCAGGGGACATGAGCCACACCATCAGGAATGGTCCTGCCCACAAGATGAAGACTTGCGGCGCACGACACTGCTCGGCATGCACCGCAAGACATCAAGACGACATCCAGAAGATAGCGATCGATCTGTTAGGATATGCCGAATATTTGATTCTAGGAAAAATTGGCTAACGAACACTGAAAGTGAAGGTCGTTTGCTGGCAGACATTTAGAGTGGAGCCATTTGCTGAAAGACACTCTAGTTGTTGACAATTATGCTGCTAGACATCGCACCCCTTATTTTATTCATTTCCACTGGTTGAGGAGAGAGAAATGTGGAGAAACGTCATTCTTGCCCCCCTACCTCTTTCTTCATCCTTTCTCTCCCATTCTTTTTTTTTTTTTCCTGTGGCGGGCGGGGCGAAAGGCAGTGTGGCGCGCGCCGCAGTTCTTCTTGTGTGGGGGGGCGCCGGTGGCGGGGCTTCTTTGGAGGTCGCTGGCTACGCGGCCTGGGAGCTGGAGCCGATGCTCTCCTCGCGTTGCCTTCGCGCGCGCTTCCACGCCATGCCGTGTCCGTCTAGATCTTGGCCAGCCCGTGGGGATCTTCCGTGCCATGGCCTATAGCCGAGCGGTGGGATGCTGATCGGCTGTGGCAGGTGCGATAAAACGGTATCGAGGGGGCTAGTGACAGTGGAGGAGAGCAGTAGTGATAGGGCCGCCATCGCCCGTCGGTAGGGTCGCAGGGACAGGGCAGCCTCTTGGCCATGGGCGTCTGGCTGCTAACACCTGGGATGTCGTGGAAGGAGAAAAGAAAGAAGCAGCTGCAGGGACCAGCACCGTCGTCGATGTCAACTCCGTCAAGCTCACCAATACGTTGCACAGGAAGGTCGGACCTACAGAGATCGTGCAGGTCACCAAAGTCAAGAAGGAGGAGAGCGGCAACAAGCCTCTGGCACCGGCCGCCGCCGTTGTAGCACTGCCCCACTTAGTCACGTCGAGCCTGTGGTACTACCAACAGTACCCGCAGTTGTCAGCCCTGGTCTCCGAGCATCCCGCGGCCGGGTACGCGTAGGGATACCAGACGCAGACTGACAGGAAAAAAAGGAAAGGGGGAGAGGAAGAAGAAAGAGGCAGGGGGCAAGAATGTCATTTCCCCACCTTTCTCTCTCCTCAACCAGTGGAAATGAATAAAATAAGGGGCGTGGTGTCTAATAGCATATTTGTCAACAACGAGAGTGTCTTTCAGCAAATGGCTCCACTTTGGGTGTCCGCCAGCAAAAGATCTCCACTTTCAGTGTTCGCTGGTCAATTTTGCCTTGATTCTATGTAAAGATTGTTGCTTACCCGATTAGACTTAGATCTAACCGACCTATAACCCTATCCCCGGCTATATAAGGCGGGTAGGGGACCCCCTCGAAACATATTCAATCTCATATTCCAGCAATATAAACTAACAGAACACATGACGTAGGTTTTACGTCGAACTGACGGCCTGAACCTATCTAAATCTTGTGTCTCTGTTACCATCTAGTTCCTGTTCACGCGCACCTCTCCGAACAATCTACCATCGTGGGTATACTCCTCGGTGGACTACCGACCATATATCGTCGACAGGTTCATCCTAGTCTTTCGTGTGGGTACAGTTGTACACCTCTGCATGATTTTCTTGAATGCCTGAAGTCTTCGAACAGATTAGTTGTTCTTACTCCTGAATTCAGAGCAGTTGTGGCGATGGACTCGTGAAAGATCGAGCTCCATTTTATAGTTTTATGCTCGTACATGTTATACCATGCTATGCTTATATGTGGTTGGTATATAATATTTACTTTATGCAAAAATGCTATTTATGCAACTTCAACTTTTATTCCTTGCTAATGCCAAATCATACTCATTGTTTATATATATTGGGTAAGTCCTATTGACTAGTTTTGCAAGTACCCAAAGGACTTGCTAGCCATGTCATCCCGCCGATGCCGGCAAAGTGGGTGAATGGCAAGAGCTACGGTGATGACGCCCATGGACAAGGCGGCCACTAGTTATCAGTTAGAAATAATCCGTAGCGTAGGGCTTTCAACCTAGGTGTAATACGGTAAGATAGTCACCTGGTTCCTACTACACTTAGATTAGTTGTACCTTCATTAATGTTGTATAATTAATTTGTTAACTTTGACAAAACTTGTAATACATGTTTATGTTGATTTATGTAATCTTTTGTTGAGATGTAATGTTGATTTATGACGGCTATACTGGTATGATACGCAACCGGGATCATGTCTCTTGATGTAGTGGAGATGTGGATAGTATCTCTCGGGGATCAGCGAGGTTGATTTGTTTAAATCGGATCGGTCAATGGGATGACACTCGATTTAGATAAATTAACGCGGATCCTACGCTACCACCGGCAGCAATGGAAACCAACAAGCCTTAAGCTACGATGGGGATGACCCAGGTGCGCCACTCCACCCTACTTGTGTGACATGCATATGCATTCAAGCAACAATTCAACAAGAAATGTTTATAAAACATTTAGCGTCAACAATTCGTTATAACTGGAGATAATAACCAAGCAACGATAAGAAAATAAGATGGACCTTGGATAACTGATAGTTAGCATAGGCAACATGCATTATCTGATTTGAAAATTCTAGGTTAATTAATACAAACTTAAGAAAACTGCTGCAGCGGTTCAAAACTACAAAGGTTGTAAAGATACAAATTGAAGTGTCTACTGCCTACCGAAGCACTGCTTCTGTACCTCCGAATCATAAGAACAATATGATGCAGGCTTATTATATAAACAAGATGCATACCTCTCGTTTACCCTCAAAAAGATGCATACCTCTCAAACTACACAGTGTAGAACCATGCTTACTCTACAGTGAGTTCTGAGGTTGTTTAACTCCGCATCTTCACATTTGGAACAGAACTGTTAATTGAATAACAATGCTCCCGGTGTAATTAGCTACATGACATCCCAATTTATCCCCAAATTTCAACCTAGAAGAATATCACAAATCAGCCCGCAATCGGACAAACTCTATATGGAAACCCTAAAATAGTTAAATATTTACAATTCATCCATTAACCTGTCCTGGTAGATTGGAACGACACTTAGAGCATGTGCCTGTTCGGCTCTTAGTTCCGGCGCCTGCTCAGCAGCCATACAACAGTATTTTACGCTCACAACGGTTGCAGCGACAGCCGCGGCAGCACTGCCTTGAGTTACAGCTGACCGGGCCATTAATTTGAACGAAGTAGTACGAAATTTAAGGAAACTAGAACAAAATGAAAGAAAAAAAATACTTGTGCGCTGCCGGGAGGCGGTTACTGGTTTGAACTTGTTTTGAAGATGATTATACCTTTTTTTAAGTTAAAAATCAGTAAATACTTAATAAGCTTTTAAACCATAAAAAATATCTCTAAGCTTCTGAAAATTCTGAGAAAAGGTATAGATAGATTGGTATACGATGAATCCAAATAAAATATCTAGATCTCATGAAAATATATGTAGAAACTTTTGAAAAATAGATTTAGCAGTAGAAAATGGGAACTATTTGAAAATGCAAAAAAAATCCAAAAGATTCTAATCGATGTCTGAACATGTATTGAAAAAGTTTTGAGGGCAAAAATATGAAATGCAACCAACATGGATACAAGATACATTAATGTTGACTTCATTCATGCTGTCTGTGCTAGTTGCATCTCATGCTTTTGTTATGGGAAGTTTTCAAAACACGTTCACACATCAACTAGATTGTTTTGAGAATTTTCTAGATACTTTTCCCATTTTACTAGAGCTATCTCTAATTTTTTTGGAAGCTACTAGTAGAGATCTTTTCACAGGTTATTAATATTTTATTTGGATTCGTTGTATCCCACTCTATCTCTAGATTTTTCTCAAAACTCTTAGAAGCTTTAGACACATTTTGTACGGTTTAAAACACTCATCAAGTATTTACTGGATTTTTTACGTAAAGGGACAACAACCCCTTCGAAACCAATTCAAACCAGAGTAATCTGAACGATTTTACGAGCAAGATTTCCTTGCCATCTCCCTCCAGTTTTTTTCCCCATTCCATCCAAACAATACTTCCTGCAAGGGAATCTGTGAGTTTTCAGTGCTCGTATTTTACAAATGCATTCCAATTGTCTATTGACCTCTCGTGTTTCCTGATTCCATTTTACCTCCATTGCTACTGTACCAAACAGACGTCTTTACGTCCTTCTGATTTTGAGTTCCTATAGGTTGTGGAAGCTGACCTATTAAGATTATACAATGAACAAAAAAAAACACAAAAATCCACTTTATGGGGGTTCAAATTCTACAAAAGCACCACACAGGTTGAACCATGTCCAACCGCAACAAAATAAAATTTCGAAAACTTACATTACATATATAATGTAGTGCATGGGGTCAAATGACTTATGTTCCCATAATGATATAAAATTGACCCAAACCATGACTGCAAACGTAAATTATTCCTGACGAATCAACTTATGCATCATCACAACAGTAACACAGAAATGAAGACCATACCACCTATGCACGCCCAGACGTGGTCACATACACATCCACCCAATATGCTAGAGGTAGAGGTTTCACAGACTTGAAGGCCTCATGGTATGATTTTGTTAAGTTTGATATTGGCATCTGGTAAGCTCCTTCCAAGACTCCACACTAGTTCAATTAGTTGGTGAACATGGTCATAATCATAGATGACTTCTATCAACTTCAGCTTTTGACAACGGAGAATCTTTCCATCATGATGGGTAGGGTGATGTTTTTCCTTTCTATCTCCCACTCCGAATCAGGAAATGAGTAGAACTTTTGGCAGAAATAGAAAGACTCATGTAAGACATCCAAGTGAATGATCAGAGACATGACAATATGCATAAGACATAAGAACTTACCATGCAGTAGTGCAAACTAAGCTTCTCCAAACAAGGTGCATTCTGAAGAAAGCTCGCTAAAGCCTCCAATTTGCCGGTCAGTTCATATTCATTAAGAAAACAGGAATGAAGGTCCAAGGTTCGCAGATTATGAAATATTGGAAATTCAGAGTTATCATTCAGCATCACCTGAAATGAAGACAAAAACCAAACCAGGATTAAGTAAATGCATCAGCCATACGCAGAAAGTGACGAGATAATAATCTGTTCTTTTTGAGCCACGCATGTGAGTAACTATCCACTAGATGAAAAACATGCTACCCTAGATGAAACGAAGACTGTATAAAATTTATCCGCCAGAAACAAATGGCAAATCTCATATAAGAGCAGCCAGCAGCAGTGATCACATATGTGCAATATTCTTGTTCAAATGGCCATCTTTCAGGGATAAGGAATGCAAAGGAGAACGAAGGGAAGCTCGTCAAGAAGACATACCTCTGCTTCAAAACGAATCAACTCTAAACTTGTCACATTGCACAGGCTACCAAGAAGCTCGCGCTGGGTCTCCTCAGATATTCTATTTTCTGAGACAGAAATCTTTGCTTTGACAAGGGAATCCATTTTGCATAACAAAATACCGGCTAGAAAGTGTCCAAATGAGAGATAGAGATGGGTAAGGCTAGGAGCCATGATCACCAAAGGATAACGTGTATTATTCGAACAAAACTCCATTACTAACTTATTCAGCTTGGGTGATATAATGCCTTGAGGACAGTTGTCACAAAACTCACAGAAATCGGGATCCATATCTTCCAAGACAGAGCATGCAGAACAGAGAGAGCCAGTGAAATGGCTATTCAAAATAATATGCGTAAGGCGCAGCCTTTTAAGACAACGGAAACTTGATTCCACCATGGGAGGAAGCTTGAACCCAGGACCATATCCTAGTAGTTCAATCTGGAGCACAGAAGGACAGTACTCAATGCCACAGCGAATCCATCGATCCACATGACGCCAATTATAGACTTGGCAACGCAAGCGGATTCCACCCAAGGCTGAGGTATTATCATGGAACAGCAGCAGGTTGGTGGCGAAGTCCTCAAACTATGCCCACCTGTCCTCCAGGGTGCTGGCCCTGATCATTAAAGAGATTCCAAAGTCTTGTTCGTCGATTTTGATGAGAGGGGTGGACCGCCAGAGGCGCCTCCACCGCCGTGACAGCAAGCTCGTCTGCACAACCAGTGGTGCTGGGAGGAAGGACAGGATGGCATGGAGGAGCTCATCCGGCAGGGCACTAAGCCGGTCCACGGCACTGGTTGGGCCACCTGCACGCTTCATTAATGGTCGTGGGTGTATCATCTGCGCTCTCACCACAGCCGCAAGCACATGATTGTTCTGAGTTTCTCACCACACCAACAGGATCTTGAGCTTTTGATCCCAATGAAGGGGCAAAGCTAGAGCAGGAATGACCCAGGTGCACCCCTTCACCCTACTTGTACACTGCAAAGTTTGTAAAGATACTACGATATGAAAATCTAGGTTAAATACAAATGGAAGAAACCTACCGTGGTTTAAACTACAAAAGGTTGTAAAGATACTATGAAGTGGCTGCTTGCATGGCTTTGGATACCTCTGATTTATAAGAACAATATGATCCATGCTCAATTTACAGTCAGTTCTGAGGTTGTTTAACTTCACATTTGTAAGTTGTAACACTCAGTTTACTAAAACAACTGTCCCAGTGTAACTAGCTGCAGGGTATCCCAATTTATCCCCAGATCTTAACCCTAGACTATCACAGATGAGATGAAACTATATTGGTCAAATGGAAACCCTAAAATCATTTAATATTCACCATTCATCCATTAATCCGCCTACGTGGCACTTAACTTCAACGAAGTGGGACGAAATTTGATAAAACTAGCACAAAAAATGGAAGAAATACCCGTGGGTTGCCGGGATGAGCAATCGATGGAAAGCCAGGCGCTCAGTACTCGACCGGCCGCCGCCAAGCCTCCCTTCGGCGCCCCTCCAACCGGTGGAGATTGTGGCTGCAAGGCTCCAGGATCCGGCGGCCGTTGGTCCGGCGACGGGCGGAGGTGGCCGTCGCGTCGCGCCGCGACCGCGAGTGGAGAAGAGAGAACACGGCAGCGGGAAGGTTTTTTTCTTGGATGGTTGTGTGGGCTTTTTGGCTATTTGGGCCTTTGGGATTGGGCTGGTGCACGGACAATTGCGACAGGAATCATTTAAATCAGGAAAAATTCCACGATATCTCCCTCAACTTTTGCTAAAGTCTGTTTTTTCTCAAACTCTAAAATCGGATAAATCACCTCCCTGAACTTTTAAAACCATTTGTTTTACCTCTGACAGGTTATAAGCTGTTTTCAAAGGCGGTTTTGTTTTTTTCCTTTTTATTTATTCCGGCTCAATCTTTAAAAAAATCATAGTAAACCATAGAAAAATCATAAAATAGAAAGTTCAATTTTGTTGGACTCCGCATGAGTAGATCTACACAATGAACATATAATATGGTATGCTTTATTATAAATTTTTTGTTGTATCTTTAGATCTATACTTTTCTATAATTAACTCATAACTGCAGTTTCTAAGGTCCAACTGTGGTGAAATTTTTATGGTGGGCTAATTATTGTATGCTTAAACTGTAGTAAAAATGTCATGCTCATTGGAATATGTATAACTTAGTTATAGATTATTTGCAGTACTCCAACACTTGTCCTAGCTGGTTTAGTACCCCAAGCAAAACCTGTTTCAGACCCTGGCTAACCGAACAGCAAGCGGGGATTAGTGGCAGGTAGGGAATAGTTACACGCAGGGAAAGAGTGACATGCACGGATCCACTCATTCCTAGGGTGGAAGTGTGGAACAAATCAGCTCCGGCATTGGATCCTCAGCAAACGAACGAGGCCTTAGGGAGCTGACATCAACAGCACGTCCTGTAGTCTAGTGAGCAGTGAGGTCCGAGTCATGCAAGTGACACCCAAAATATGCGCAGCCAATTAACAAAAGCTTAGGTACGTGATGCCCCTACAGATGAGATTCCTGGCCCTTGCATTCTCCAACAGCCATTGGCTCCAACGGAGATAAAAAAAAAAACCCTGCTAGTGGCACCAAAGCTAGCTGCTAGATCCCCCATTTTATAGGAAAGGATTGGAAAGTTTGTGTGTATGTCAATTACTTTACAGGTCATTTTCTTGCTTGCTATCGATGTGATGGTTGGAGGATAGACTACAACAAGGTCGTTTTGTCGCCATTTGGGTCATAGATGTATGCTTTGGTCTTTTCTTGTTTTTTCTTTTTCTTTTGTTTTTTCCATACGTGTAAGAAGGGAATATATACTAGTATAATGGGTGGATGAATTGCATTGAGAGACTCTCATACTAGGATGTACTTAGTCATCGTTAAGAGCCATTGACTGCCTAGCCTATCTATAGCACTGACACCATATTATACTCTAACCTCCCAAGCAGTCACAGCGGGAGCACCGTAGACGGTGAGACTGAAGAAGAAGTTAACAAACATCCCCTCGCAGTCACAACTTGGCACAGACGCTAAGACTAGAGAGAAAACTAGCAAGGACTCATGCAGATGATACTTGATCAATGTTTTGGTTTTCTTTTCTTGTGCGTGTTTCTATTTTTTTATACTTCAAGTTTCTTTTATAACAGTTTTATACTTCAAGTTGATTGATGCTTGTTGCTTGAGTTCAGACAGGAATTTTCTTTACATACACGCAGAGAGAGAGAGATGTAAAACTCTGGGTCATCAAGGTATAAATTTTTTTATCGTGAATTTATAAATGGAATCCATCACAAAAAAGTTCCTCAAATGTGGAGGAAGCATAATACAACCCCGTTTCCAAAAATATGCACGCGCTAATGAGCTTGGACGGGTATAGCGTGTCACTTTTGCATGTTTTTCATGAGCGACTTGTGTAACAGGATTATTTTCGAGGTGCTACATTTCAGACGACAAGATTTATAAGCTGGTACTTCAGAAACCCAAGTAGGATAATTTCATAATAGTAGAATATATGAGTCAAACTGGGTCAAACCAGAACACTATATATAATGGTCCTAGATATTACACATCAAGTGTGCAATTAATCTACCACCCCAGGTAATCTTAATTTACTTTTAAAGATAGTGGCATTAACAATCTTGCAACAAAACTTCAAGAATTCAACTTTTTTGCCACTATCTACGAGCAATGTTCACCTAAACCGTCGTTTATTAGCCCGTTTACATGCCATTTAAATGCTACACGGTGGTACACCTTTCCGTTTAATCGATTGTTTTAACCGTTTGAATGGCCGCTTTACTCGTTTAAACACCCGTTTTGCCTGAATAATGAGCTAAACGGCAGGTGACCGACTGTTTACCGTTTAACGTTTAGGATAACACGTCTACGAGAGAAGGTGGCAATTGCTGTTGTATACAATATATAACCTTTTCCTTACGAGAGAAGGAACAATATAATATATATCTTGTATACATGGTGTGACGATTGATAGAGAATATTTCATCCCCTCGTCTTTTTGTGCTCTTTTGTGCTCTTCTATTATTTATACACGTGTGTGCATGTAGTTCATGGGGCGCTAAGTGATGTTTGGCCAATTCTAAATGCCAAAACAAGCTCTAGATTCTATTGTTGATCTAGTTAGCAGGAAATCGCTATGAACTACCGAAAGAAAAACACCACTAGTCTTTAAGCACACAATAGAATACAATTCTCATGTTTGTTAGGTGTCCAATATTTGGGTTAGACCGCTAGTGTCATAGCCATGTCTGTGTAGAAAGATATTGGTACTTTCTAGCATTGGTCCTTTACTATAGAAGTGGGTATTGTCTGTGTACACCATGGACTACCAATGACAAATTAGACCGGTGGATATTTTTTTACATTAAAATGATACACAATCAATCGTTGAACAATGCACACATGTGTCTACGGTAGATTGGTGGTAAAAAAATGATGAGATGTGCCACACCATCATCTTGCACAATGGCCTATATACTAGTACTACTTAATAACCAACATCTTGTTCAAAACATTATAATTTTAGAAACAGATACTCCACTAAAAATTAGACATCTTAATGAAGAAGTAAATAACAGAAGAGAGATAATGTTAACAAATAGCATAACCATTGTCCATGGCAGGATGGTCATCTTGCATATCATTCCACACCAGCTTAGCCATGTGCTAGTTGAAAATGAGCAAAAAGTGGCACATGAATAACATGTTTTATAATTGCCACAAAAAATAGTTAAGAATAATCATCTTAGGTAACATGCTTTGTATCTCCCATAAAAAACTCAAGAAAATTTTGGTGTGCTTTACCATTGAAGATTGAAGCTCTCGTGTCCAGTATGTTTCAATCATCAGTATGCTTCCAAGCGAGGGAACATGTCATGGTTCGTTTGTGACTGATTAATGGGTGCACAACTCCTCCTTTGAACACTTGACGATGTGTGTTGTTCAGTGCTATCCTCGTCGCCTCCAATCAAAGTCCATTGTTGAAGCCCTCGATGATCGATCTTGGGTTCTTGACATTAGGGTCACATTGGTGGTTTAGGTTCTTGTCAAGTACAACATCATTTGTGAACCTTGGAAAATGTGCATTCATATGCTAGAGTTTCAAATAAAATCGGTCGGTATGCATTTGTCAA